AAGCCTTATTATTATATTATTATATTATATCTTTTTTCCAATATATAATGAATAACACATTATTCATATATATATATATATATATATATATATATATATATATATATATATATATATATATATTTAAGAAATATATATCCGTACATATATTATTGCAGTAAGGCTCGAAATCGGTTTTGTACCAAATATAAGCTCCTGTCATGCTCAAATACCACGAATGGAGTACCGTTGGATTCTGAATTTCACAGGGGGTTAGCGAATCGTATTCTCCGCTTTTGTTTTTCTTTCTAAAATAAATAAAGTCGATACAAAAATTTTGCCAGGCTTCGATACTGGAACTGTGGTAGGTCTGTAGATCGATACGGGACAAATTGGATCTTGAAGATTTTGGTGCGTACAGAAAGACCCGGATAGTTCCTCCGGAACTATCGGATCCTGCGTTTTTAAGCCGAAAAACGTACTATTTTCGAGATAACGCAAGGCATAGGGTTCGCATCCACACAACCTTACATTAATTGTGGTACTGTCATTGAATATATGTCTCATTTGTCGACTTGAGGTCTCTATGATCGAGAGAGTGGGAGTTTATATTATTTATCGATGGTGTTTTTGATCGGTAAGCCATATCTTCGTCAATTTTTCACCAAATCTCAAGATTGAGCCATCAATTTCGAAGTCTTCCTTCTCCTTCAGGCTGGCAAAATAGTCCAATCACCCAGAAAATTCAGGCAAACAAGTTATGAAAGAAAATATACTTTATTTGCGAATAACTGAAAAATTACACGCTTTTCCCTTGGTTATGCACATGATTATATAAAAGATTACTAAAGTCCATACAAAAGGAAAAAAAAATCATCGCAATCTGTCAATTTTTAGCAAAGATATAGCTTACTGAAATTTGTATACATGTTGGTTCCAAACAGAAATGAAGATTTAAATTAATTTTTGTTTGCTTTGTGGATTATATTTATCGATAAAGTAACATTTGATGTCTTAATCTTTTGATAAGTTGCATTTTTTTATTTTCTTATTAATTTGGCATTTGATAACTATATGCTGTGCGAATTTTCCGCACGGGCCTACTAGTATATGTAAATTTCATTGTTTAACTGATCATAGTAAGTTATTTATATAGAACTAACAACGACTGAAGTCTATAAAAACAATTTACATTTTCATTATTAGCCAATACAGAAAAAATCTTATTAATATGACTTCGAAAAAATTAATAAAACAAATATTTCTCAGGTATTACATATAAAAATAATATTATTTTTATGTGCTCATCAGTGGGGCAGATTATCGTGTAGATATTATAATTTTTGAGGCCTTTTGTTTGTTTATTAATTTTTTTGGATGTATAGAAAAAAAAATTACTCATTTGGGTAAGTTGAAAAAGTCTGATAACTTCTTCATGAATCTTTTTTTACTCATTTTTTTCATTGTGGACCAGTTAAACAGTAAACATCCAGTTAGGATGTTTTTACTGACCTGAACTACGACTTTTCATTAACTTTCCGAGCTAATTGGAAATCATAACCTATAGTGTTATTTTCCTATAACAGTTCGTATAGAATTAACTGTCATTCGTAATTTACGTTATACATAATAGTAACACCTACAGTTTTAATTTTCATTTATCAAAATAAACCTTTGGAAATCAATGTTCTATTGATTAATGTTGAGGTTTTGAACGAAATTAGTTACAATTAATTAATGAAACGTAATTACTAAAAGAAATCTGTTCGAATTTATTGTTGTTGAACTCTCGGCTCTTTCACGGTAAATGATACATCGGCAACGGTTGCTTAAAAAACTCAACTGCCGTGTAATTATCTTATATATTCGCAATTATTGAGAAAGCGCTCACAGTTGTTTATTTTTATATTACTGATATTGAAGAAAAACCTTCTTTTGCTTCATGTAATTATCCACAGTCGCTATTGATCCTAAAGATTTGAACCTTAGGGGCGGGGTGGCCGAGCAGCTAACGCATGTACAAAACATGCGTGTCTCCGAGCAAAACTCGCCCAAGAAATACCAAGTATAGCCTAACAGATCAGGAAGAAGAAAAAATATAATAATAAAAAAATAATGATTCTTATAATTATTTCGATGCATCTACCAAGTTTGATGATCGTAGCAGTTTGACGGATGTCAGTTGTCTGAGAGCTGTAAGCGTTTGTCGTACATTTATAAACTAAAATTATCATAAACAAACAAAAATAAAATTTGTAAAAAAACAACTTTGTTTTTTGTTAAGAGTATGATGTTATATAGTCCGCGGTACAGACACCTTTTTATCAAATTATTAACATCCGGCTGAAACTTCGAAAATTCTCGAAATTGGAGCGTTTTCAATCTGGAGATCAGTAAACTTAGTCTATTTCATTGGGTAGTAAAAACTCGTAAATACCCTTTTGCTTTTCACTTGAATCGTTAGATAACTCGAGCAAAAAGCAGAGAAAAATGTGGCCTTTAAAAATGTTGAGCCGTTTGGCGTGACCTACACGTCTAAATTATCAGGATAACGAGATAATATAGGCCAAACGGCCCAACATGTTTGTAGGCCACCTTTTTTGGAGATTTTGTTATCAAATTATCTTACGATCCAGGTGCAATCGGATCTTACGATCCGTTTGACCTATATTACCTCGTTATTTTGACAATTTAGAGGTGTAGGTCACGCTAAACGTCTCAATATTTTTGAAGGCCACATTTTTCTCTGCTTTGTGCTTGAGGTATCTAATGATTCAAATGAAAGTCAAATGGGTATTTACTAGTTTTTATTATCTAATTAAATAGACAAAGTTTGCCGACCTCTAGATTGAAAACACTCCAATTCCGAGAACTTTGGTATATAAAATATTTGTAGGTTACGATGAGTAGAAGCTATTTACGAAGTTTCAGGCGGATGTTAATACTAAGGTTTTCAATAAGAAGTTATAAAGTTCCTAGACAATGAAAACATAATAAAACATATACAAGTTTATAATTAATGATCTTTTGCAGATTCATTTATTGATTTAATTCTATTTTTTATAAGTTTATTTATTTATCTATTCTATCTTATTATCTATAAGTGTCTATTATTATCATTATTTATTTATTTTATTCTATTATTTTTTTTTAATTTAAATTTATTTATTTTATTTTTAATTTATAATATAACTTTTAATTTTTATTTGTATCTTTTTTTTTCAATTTTTTGCACCAACCACCTGATCAGTATAAAAGTAGTGTTATTTAGTTGATCGGGCGCTGATGACCTTTTGCGCCTAGGTATTGGAACAAACAAACTAAAAAAAAAATTGGGAAATAATCATAAGGATCTCGCGACTAACAGTTGGTTGTAGAAACGATTCTTAAATATAACCAGGCTTAAAGGTAAAAAAATATTAACACAAAGTAATAAACTGGTCTACTTTTAGTTCTGTTTCCTGTGCAGATTAAATCCAGTAACATAATCCTATAGTTATTTCATAGTTCTTCTAGAGCTCTCTTCCCACGGTAGACTAAGCACCTGAAGAATTTCACATGGCGTACAAGCCCTTAGGACCTCCGACCTCTCGGGTCCTGAATAACCTCATGACAGATGAGGGAAAGTGAATCCACAACTTACACTTTCCCAGGTGGCTCTAACCTAAATTTTTTATGTATATAATGCACTCTTTTCACACATGTAGAACTTATACTTGCCATTCACATTTTCAATTGCCAGCAGTTAGATTTAGTAAAATAATAACGTTTTTTTATTTATGATATTTACAACTGTATTACGAAAGAATACATTAAGTAAATGTGATTACAGAAAATAAAAACATGAAAACACTTGTTGAGAAACTACCCACTGTTAGCACTCTAAAAAAAATGTATTAATAATAGAAGATCTCGAGGCCATCTTCTTTTCAGACGCCTCGGAGGATTATCAAGGATCGAATAAGAAGCAAGGTTAGAAACGAGAGGCTTCGGATGATCCTGAAGTTTATTATGGAAGGATAGGTATCTGGATTGGTCCAATTTGGAAACATAAGGAACATTAAGGTCTTTATGGATGATTGGTGAGCGATCGAGGAAAGTCTGAGTAGGCCACACTGCTGTACTCAAGACAGTCCTCTACTATATGCTCCTAACATTTTGGAGATGACTTTTGACAGCAGATAGCTGTGGGTGAGGCGGCTTTGCCCTATTGGGAAACGAGTTATTACAACTTCGTCTCTTCTCGACTGTCTGAAGTATCTCCACCTCACAGCGGCTGGATTAATAAGTCTAGGTTTATTAGGTATTGTTGGTTTCATATATGGCAGAAAATTTATTTATCTGTTTCATTGGCCGTGGGGCGACCCTGGGTTTGCGAGTCCCTCCTGGGGCACATCCAGCCTCTATAAAGTGGGTACTCTTAATTAAATAATTAATTAAGGGGAAAAACCTGGCAGTTGAGCGTGATCTCGGTCAAATCACCTCCTTGCACAGCCGTTGACCTAGAAACAGTACTTTCCCTAAATAGTACTGAACCCCAAACCCTTCATGGGTTGTAGTGGTACAGGTTGGTTTCATATATTTTGACACTGAATCGATATGTCTTCTCCTATTGGCTAGAAAACTTCAGTACTTAATATCTGTTTTAAAAATCTATGTTCTATAATGGATCGTGTTGTTCATGAGATTTATTTTTCCTTATAATTTCATGTAAGTCACAAAAGCGATAATCATGCATCATAATGTCATTTTAAACTGGCGGCAACGAAAAATATCAGACATTTGATAAGTTGATCCAGTAAAGAGCTATGATTTTTTGAAATATTAGGATATAAAATGAAGATTTGTTTTTTTGTAAATAGCATACTTTATAATTAGAGAGCTTTAAAAAGTTTATAAGATCATAGGATTAATGTAAAATTATGATAAAACTGCAGATTTATCATGACCATCAACAAAAAATTATCAAGTAGAATTGTAATATATATATATGTATAAAAGATGGGAAACAATGGATTAATCATTTATATTGTAATATAAAAATACATTAATATGTTAAACTAGACATCTTAATCATCATCATCATCTCCATGAAATACAATTGTGCTCTCTGAGGTATAACTTCTTCCTTCTAGCATTGCCTGAATATTTTCTAAACTTTTTCCTTTTGTTTCTATGATCGTTGTACTGTAAATTGCTCCTATAAAATTCGAGATAGTGTATATAATAAAATTTGTGTACATTCCATAAGCGTTTGAAAGAGGAAGGAAGGTATAAACGACTAATATGGAGAAGAGAACTGCTACCATAGCACCGATAGCGTTCGCTTTAGCCTTCACTCTCATAGGGAACAGTTCAGACATGACAAGCGAGGGGATGTAGAAGTACCCTGTGGAGTAGAACGCTGCTTGAAGGATCAGGCAGCTGATGACCACCCATTCAGTTCCAGAAAGGTCGTAGGACTTACTATAATCCAGGTAGAACCAGACCAAGCAGCCGAGCATGAAGACAGTGGTGCCTGAACTGGAGAGGATAAGAAAGTTTTTGCGACCCCAGTGGTCGACGAAGTATCCGCATATCGCACATACCACGAGGTAGGTACAGTTGAGCACTACCGGGCCTTTTTCGCTCGACAGCCAAGAAGTCTCTGGGATGATGAAGCTGCCGTAAGAGACGATAGCTGTCATGCCTGACATCCGCTGTATTATCATCAGCGATATCACGATAATAATGGCTTTTCGCGTTGGCCTGGTCTTGAAGATGTCGACGATATTACTCTCTTTCTCTAACTGCAGCTTCATATTCTTGTCGATTTTCCTGTATTCCTTCGAAATGTCCTCTCCCCTACCACGTAACCATTGAAGGCTTGAAGTAGCATCGTCGTAATGGCCATGCATCATGTAATAATATGGAGATTCAGGTATCATAAACATGAATACGAAAAAGAACAAATCCAGACTTCCCGAATAAAGGATGAGATCGTCATAGGAGAGAACCGCTCCTACGGCACTCTCGAACACGACGCCTAGTAAAAATTGAATGTTCATGACTCCTTGAGCCCGCCCCCTGATAGTCTTGTGAGTGGTCTCTCCGATGTAGACCGGAATGGTGAAAAGGGCCATCCCCGAATACCATCCGTTGATGAGCCTCGCCGAATAGAGAACATAGATATTGTGAGAGAAGTAGATCATGATCCAGTGCGCCATATTCAGGATTCTTCCGAAAATCAGAGCCGATTTCCTTCCGGTGAAATCCATCACGTAACTCATCGGAAGAGGAGAGAAGAACCTGCCTGCGAATGGTATCGCTGCTATCAGCGACATCTGGTATTGGTCCAAAGTGATATCCACTTTATTTTGTTTGATTTTCAAGAATGCTGGAGATGTCCATGCAATCGCCATTCCAGATGTGAAGAAACAGCAAGATACTATAAACAAGAGTTATTAGTTATAATAAAGTTAAAAACAATATTTTGAGATAACATGATTTCAAACATATTATTCTAACCAAATTTATTGTGGATTATTTTATGAATAATAGTGTAATAAAAGTGATTTGACGACAGCCTTCAAATCAAGAATGGTCTCTTTGCGAAACTTTTTGGGAGTGGAAAGGACCCGGACGACTTCATGCCATCCTCTGACCAATAGTATCGTAGAAAGATGTCATCAATCGTTAACATCAGCTCTGATGACCCATTTAAAAATTGAAAAATGGTCCAAGTTTTTCTCACGGTAAAGCTAGGACAATGAGCTATTATTGGATAAGACACTGATTATAAGAGCATAAATAAGGCAAGTCTTATCTCCAGAAAGAGCATCGTAATGGAGATTGGAAGGAAACATAGTCAATCAGCAGGAAAATAACAACCTAGAGCAAATGGTGAAGAGACAAGCGACTACCACAAACAGATATGGAAGAATCATTATGCTCAAGATTAAGTTGTTGGATGCTGTTGCTATGGTGGAAGTACTTTGTTGGTCTCTTAGTGACCTGTTGTTATAAAACAATAGCAGTTGCTATGATTGTTTATCATAGCAACAAGCGTTAATATGTTCATTAACTTATTGACAATAAGTAGTATTGTATGTTCCGTTTTAATTTTTATTCCAAAATTTCTTTTTTGTTATTTAGTGTTAATCATTAAATTTTAGATGTTTCTGTAGTAATGTATTTAAATGGGCCCAATAATTGTGTAAATATTAGATCTTAGATTAGTTTGTTTCAATTCTTCAAATTAAGGTATTGGTTTATTGTTTTCAATAATGAATCATTTTAATCGTCCAAAAAAATTCAAAAACTTAACCTCTCCTATACTAAAAATTTGAGGTTTAATGTTTTAGGATAAGTAGAATTTGAAAATCGAATAAAAACAAATTTGTCCCTCCACCGTCTACGCATTTTGTGCGAGACTACCCGACCGATTTTTTTTTTTTTTTTTTTAATTTGGAAGTCAGAGGTCACCCGAGGATGATCCTCCTACCTGGACATTACTATCCGCACTTTCCTTTAAAGATGGCGACTGAATAACTTGTGTTGGTATTTACTAAAGTGCCTAAACGAATGTACCGATTTCAATGAAACTTGGCTAAAGTATTCTCCTCGATGCTCTTTAAATTTATTTATAAAAAAATACTTTAGATTACAGTATGCAGACACGATTTTTAGTATTTGAGATATTTCTTATGAGATAATCCTTATGTAAAACATTTCAATTAGTCGTCGACTTCGAAAATCTGCCGTATTAATCTAATTCACTCTCCACAAAAAAGTTCGAAACGTCCATGTGCTTGTTTTATGTGAAAATTTTCTAATATAATAAAATAAGGCTGTGTTTATTTCTTCACCATATTTATGTCAATTTGCATAGCTACGTTTCGGCCGGTAAGCCATCTTCAAGCCATTTTATCGTGCGAAACGTAACTAAAGAAGTTTTTACTTCAAAAAATATCATTGGAATTGGACGATTTGATACACAGATGTGATGTTTTAAATATTTTTCATGTTCTACATCAAACCTTGTTTTGTTTTTAATTTTTCAAAGTGTTACATCTATTGAATAAATGTTTTATACTATTCTTAGCAAATTAATAATGATGAAAAAAATTCATTCCTATTATTAAAAAAATCTAATAGGCCTAAACTATTAGGAATCACATTTTGTTTATTTTTTTATGTTTAAGGAAAGTAATGTTACTTTTGATGTATACATAATTTGGAAATACTAAACCATTTATTGTACCATGTAATAATTTACAGCGTTTTTCAATGGAGGTTTTCATTCTATTCTTGTTTTGTTATTTTGATAATAATTTCTAAATTATTTAAATGATGTAGAGGGGACATATTGAATGTAAGTACTTGATGCATACTCCATACTTTATTTTATCGAAGATTATATTAAAATCTTGATTTTTTATTTTCCCTTTTGTTGCTTTATTGCCGCTATAATCTTAGGCTTAATAGTTCTCACCTTTTGCGGCTTAATTTTCTCAATTCTGCGCCAATCTTTGACAAAATGAGCATAAGAGTCATGACGGTGACTCATACCTCATGAGTATAACACTCATCACCATTAGACCTCCTGCCAGATTGGTATGGCGCATTTTATAAATTTCTAACAATGAGATTTGGCATTAGAATGAGATAATGCTAGCTGAATGAGAGAACAATCATCAGAATGAATAAAAATACTCTACAAGTTATTATGGTTTTCAAACTTTTATTTTTGTACAGTTCGGCTTGGTTATCAAAGCACACATCCACACACTCACGTATATGTATATACCCTGTTATAAAACTATTAAAAAAATGGCTACTGTTTATTAACGTAACAGAATAAGAATAAACGTAATTATTTCTCTAACAAAGATGCGATTCCTCAATTAAATTTTAAGATATACTAAAACTTATTGAATTAAAACTCCAAAATTATTTTATGGATGGTTTTGTATTAGCCTATTTTGATAGTTCTCCTAATAACATGCTATTACTATATTAAACTTTAAATGAATTTATTTGCTTATTTAGAAGAAATCGAAGATGCTAACGCCTGGTTACATAAAGATAACAATTCTTTTAAAACATATGGGGTGATTCTCAGATTTTGGGCAATTTTCATGACAAAATTTTAATAATTTTGACGGCATTTAATGTATATTTTTTGTCAATGCCAAGACAAAATGGCTTTTTGCTCGTAATTAAAGTAAGTAAAGTACATTCATTTGTGGGAAATTGAATACGAGTATCAACTTGTAATGACATTTTCACAGCATTTTTTAATAGGCCAAAACCGTTGTTTTACTAGTATAATAATTTTTGTTTTTTTTCTAACAAAATTGCTACAAAACCCGTAGTCAAATGTAAATTATAATAAAAACATACTTTAACAGGTAGAGAATAATTTACGCGGTGTTAATGACAACAAATAAAGTACGGTGCTCGGCGTATAAGAAACGATGCGTAGAGGGAGCTCCCCAAATGGGTCGGTCTTATCGCTGGCTGTCCTTTAACTCGATGGCTGCTACTAAAAAAAAAAAAAAAATTCCCCACTGTTCCCTCTTTTCAACACTTAAATATCTGATGCTATGTTTTTTGTTTGGTAATGACATCTAAGTGATGGGACAATGTTTGAAAATACATAAATATACTTCACTGTTAACAAAAGTTTAAAAATATATATAATTTAAAATTCCTTTATTATTCTGTAGGAGTGGAAATAAATTTCACTCACATTTTACATAGGTTTCGAAAAAAAAAAAAAAAAGTTTACTAGAAAAATGATAGTGGGGCAATATGTGGTAATTACATTTCAGTAGCTTAAATAATTATAAAATCACACTATTCTATAATATTTCATTATGAAGAAATACTTCTCCACTGTCGAAAAAAAAATCAAGTTAGAATTAACTTATAACATAAAAGTTGTAATGGACTAAAACTTGCCTCCAAAATGAGAATCATACACATATATATATATATATATATATATATATATATATATATATATATTTTCAATATATGAACAATTAGGATTTTAGTATCTTTTAGGAAATGAAACATTTTTGAAAATTGGTAATGTCATTTTTTTGCTTAAAATAGAAGTTAAATTTTCAGGAAAATTGAAAAAAAAACAACAGTTTTTGGGAATATTCGGGATAATAGAAAACGTAGAAGGAGTTGTCGTAAGCTTGTATTTTTCACAACAAATGTAATTCATGCAACATATTTAAAAATCAAAATGATTCCATCTTTGCAATCCACTATTATATTTCCACATAGCTATTTCAAAATTCATGCAAAGCAACTCATACCGAGATAAGAGCGTTTTTTCAAGGGAGCCAATGTTCAATAACTTTATTATTATTAAAATTTGTTTCAGAATTATTAAATATGTACTCCGGAGTTAAAGGACATCCTGTCACATTTTTTCGTTTTTTGGGGAGCCAGTTTTCCATAACTTTGAGCTATTAAAATTTGTTTCTTAGTTAATAAATATTTTAATTAAAAAAAATGAGCACGGTGTATTTTACCTCGGGGGCACAGATTTATATATATTATTAAGTTATGTTTGTTACCTTTACATAAATTAATGACAACCTTTTGGAAGTTTAGATACAAATTTTTATAGAGGTTATTAAACAACTTTTCTTTTGAAACTTTTACTAAATGGTATATAAACTATATATTGTAACACATAAAACGATGTGATAATAAATGGAAATAACTAACATTAGGAAACGTAGATAGATACCCACAACTGTAGATATCCACTGTCCCATCTTGTGCTTTGGAGGCGATGTCTCAATCCATAGTTTGACCTTCATGGCCTATGCACTGTTTAGAACAAGTTCCAATTGGACTTATTTTGTTGATAAGTTGATACAAGTTGATGCAATTGCAAGTTTTTCAAACATAACCTCTTCGTTATCAACACATGGTGTACATCACCTGTACTCATTTCCCAATCGCTCTTTTAAGGTGTATCGTTTTATTAAAATATATAATATACTATTACAATAAGGATTATTTTTTTACAAAATCTATTATTATTTTTAATTTATTTATATACATGTATGACTCTCAAAGTTTCTTATTTATTAAATATCCTTTCGTTAAAAATAAATGTTATCTCCTTTAATAATGTTGGCGGTATAATTACTATAAATTTAATATTTTATGCAATGATACTTTATTAAATTGATGGTAATTATTATATTATTGATTATTTATAAGGTTCACATTTTACTTTTTTATATTGCGAACTGATATTGATTATCATATTACATAAGCTATAATAAAAAATCTGGTGCACACAACTTTAACATACTGCTGAACTTTGAATAGAAATTATTTTCTGGCCATGTTGAGCTATTATAAATTTTTTTAATTGAATCTTTAGTCGAGGTAAACCTAAAAGTTTACAAATCATAAATACCATTAAAATAACAAAAGTCCTATTTATTATATCACCGGTTGATTATGGATTGTACGATCCGTTGATTATGGAGTGTACGACTATTAGTTATTAAACTGTTATTTTCCATTGAAAAGTTTTCTAAAATGGATTTAAGAGATTTGCATTGTCTGTTAAAAGCAGGTTAAAAATTGTCACAAATTGTAAGTGGATACTTTTGGGATATCACAAACAGAAAATTCATCAAATTATTCACTAATTTAATTTTCTTATACGTTGCATGATGATTTTTATGATTTTAACCTTCTACAACTTTCTATATTATATATTGTTTTTTTTTTTTTATTCAATTATCAAATTCTTTCAAAAGTTATATGTATCATTTTTTCATAATTCTTAACAATGATAAATATTTAATTATTTAAAATAAACCATATTAAAGGTACTTTAGAGGAAGATATGATAATGTTGGGATTTCACGAAGGGAAAATTCATCAAACTATTGACTAGTTTAATTTTCTAAAACGTTACTTGATAATTTTTTTGAATGAACGGCTAACAGATACCTAATTATTTAAATATTATTATCATATCGAGGAGTTATTAAACTACAGTAAACGCATTTACACGTATCATTAAGACCATTAAAATTAGAAAAAGTCTATTTATTATATCGACGGTAGACAATATAAATCTAGTTACTCAATGTGCTTCTATAAACCACATAACTTCAGTCTCTGAGCCTTTCAAATGATAGAATGATTTAATCCAATTTCAACATTTTGGAGTAATGTCATTTTAGTGATTTATCTAGTTGAAAAAGTATCTTTGTGATTTACCTTTGATAGAGCGATTTCATTAGATCATTCAGAGCGAGTTCCTAAACTCAGCGCTGAGCTCATCGAAGGAATATTTTTGTCTTGTTTAAAGACAAATCTATCATCAATGATCTCAGTGCTGAGTTTAGGAACAGGCTTGAATAATCTGATGAAATCACCACTTGTTTTTATTGAACGTCATTTCCTTATTCTGCCACTTTAAATATAATAGTAACGAATAAATATTGCTTAAGCCCCTGGATGTATTGAATGTGTCAGAGACAGAATTACAGAACTTTACCTTCTTTATCTGTAAACTATAAACACTAACTTTTTTAACAAATATTTTTTCGTTAGATAATATATTTATTTATCCAAAGTTTTATCAATCCTTCATGAAGTTTCAATCCTTCACATTGAGGGCCATTTTTCTTTGAAGTTGGAGGATAATCTCCATTTCTTTTTCAAATTTTGTTTTTTACAAATTTAATTTCCAAGGAATCTGGAAAGTGTTCAGCTGATTTGATAATGGTCCACATTGTCTCATATTATAGTTTAGTTGTAGTAATCGTTATTATAACTTAATGATTACTTTGTAAAGAGATCCATCCATACTCCCAACCTGGGGATCCATTTATAGAACATCTTTAACTCCTTTTTATTTTTATGCTCTAATCTTATTCTTCCAATGAGGGCAGGTATATTGAAGTAAAAAACTATTTATTTCATTTATAAAAACGCATATGAACTATCTGATCTGCTTTTAGCAGCCTCAAATCACTGAATGAGACTCCAAAAAGATTAAAATTCCTTTTGGAACATAAACACTTAGGTCATTTGCAGGATTTAATGGTTTCATCAACCCTCTACTAGATCTGGTCTCGGGATGATAAACCACTTCTGTTCTTGTACATCTGAAAACATAGTTTAATTTTTAATATAATATATCATGCAATACTAATTTTAATATTAATACGATTAAATAAAGTCAGAAATAATATAATAAATTGTTTTTGTATCAATATATTTTCTAATAAATTATTGTTCTTTTATCTCTGTTTGGTTAAAGCAAATTCTCGTAGTTAACAATTATACCTGGGATCAGAGAAGTAACGAAAGGAGGATAAAGACTAATAAACAGCTGCTTATAGAAACTGGTCAATCAGTATCCGTACTGCATTAAAGTGAAATGCTGTAATAAACTATTTGAGGTCTGTAAATCCAACAGAAAAAAAATCATCACATACTTATGACTGTCGAGCTCTCAAATGGAATCCTCAGTGACAACGCCAAGTTTGCAGACCGAGGAAGACGTGGAGGAGTTCTAACATGGAAGAGAGAAGGGATCAAATTCACACTTGGGCCACCCTCAAGAAGATACCTTCAGGCAGAGACGGATGGCGTGATTTCATCAAGATCTTCTTTCCCATGAAGGGATAACATCATCGCTTAATATTCTGGCAAGTTAAGAAAAGGATATAAAATGGATTTCCTCTTTGATGACCTTGTACACGATACAATATTTTTTTCTAATGAAATACGGCAGTATATTTTACTCAAAAGTAAAATAAAAATCACAAGTATCAAGAGAAGAATATTAGACTATGGATTTTATGATTTATGACTGAAATTGCCATGTTTAGCAAGTATGAGGTTAAAGTTTGGTCCCCTCTCCCTCTCAGTTTGATCAGTCAATCAGAAGAATATTAAAAAAAATATTTTAGCTATGTACCAGTGAAGTGGCTGAGGGAGAAGCGTAAGGATCTCCTAAGCCTCGCTTTACCCTCCACATGTGGGGGGACAAGATTGGTTCAGAGATTCCCTGGCTGATAGTAAATAATGTATATAGGTATGCTTGTATCTAAGATGTTTGTTTTACTTTTTTTTTTTTTTACTTACTTATGTGTATATATATATATATATATTTTCTTTTGTTCTTATTCTTTTGTTATTACTTTATTTATTTATGTATCTGTATATACGGTGTGAATATACTCTCTGAACTCTATTATAAGTGTCCTTAACTGAGACAGATTGTAATATTTTTCAATAAAATGTTTTAAAAAAATAAGATATTTTAGGTATAAAGTATGAACACTTTTCTCTTCCGTGTGCGACAGTTTTATACCTAAAATAACACAAAACTCTTCCCTTAGAAAAATATAAAAATTAAATAATATAAAAACGTTATATTTAAGAGATAGTTTTCTTAAAATTGAACAAACTATTTAAGGAAGAAAATTCTGTAGGTAGTGATTTTTTTTTCTCTTTCCTTTTTCTCAATAGCCGACTAAGCAAAGAGAAACATTTGGTTCGTCCGCTAAAAGATAACGCTTTTTTGAGCGAACAGCAGGATAAATTTCTTAGTTTGACTGCTCCAATTGTTTGCTCGAATCCTCTGAGTGTGTTGAAACAATTTGAGCTAAAAATATTGAACCGTGATTAAATTTTTTTTTTTTTAATCTATTCGCAAAAGTTTTTGTAACGCTATTTTGAGTGAACAGCTGAATCCATTTTTAAGTTTAATAACTCAAATTATTCGGTGAGATTCCGTGAGTTTTTAGGGAGTTAATGTGTTCGGGATGTCCGCTTAAAATTATGTAACGAAGAATATTTTAAGCGAACGGTTGGGTCGATTTTTATGAGTGTTTAGAAACAATATTAGTCAAAAACACACGAACCTATGCTTGAATAAAATGTGTTTAATCGATTAGCTCAGAGGCATGTAAGTTTTTCGAGCGTACGTCTGAAATGATTTTTGTTTCATATCTTAATTATTCGGTGAAATCCCTTGATTGTTTTGAAAAAAATTAGCTCAAAATTCTGACGAATCACTGTGTAAAGTGTGTTTAATCAATCCACTGAAAGATACGGGAGGTTTTTGGAGCGGAAATCATGATCGATTTTTAACCTTGACACCTGTAATTACTCAGTTAAATCCCATGAATGCTATGAAACGATTTGAGCTCAAAATACTGAGAAAAGAAACGTGTTGTAGTTTAAGTATCTCAATTATAAATTTATTTGAAACGATATCATCTGATCAGGTTATGAAAATGAATTTTTAATATTTTAAAAACTTAAAAGTGTAAAAAAATATTTGAATTAAAAAAAAAAAAAATGAAAACAGAAATTGGGAAATTCTATCCACCCTGAGGGAATATACTACCATATATGTTTAAATATCTTGGTAGATTGATTGGAAAATTGACATATACGAACATTTAAACTTTGTTAAGTTGTCAGATTGCTATCACACCCCGATCGAAACTATACTCTTTCGGTGCATACCGATAAATGGGACGAAATATATTTGCCAAGAGCTGTAATGTGTAGTGATAAGCACTCCAATATTACACCAACTTTAAATATTCGTAGGTATTCTCTATCAATCTCCCAAGATGTTTAAGTAGATATGGTAGACCATTCTCTCAGAGTCGGTTTTTTTTTTAAATTCAAATATTTTTGTTATGCTTCAATGTAACTTATGAATATAAATTTCACTTGTATTCCAAATTCAGTAATTTATATTTTCTGTACCTGTAAATTAAACGTCACTCATCTTGGCTTGAAGCAAGGCTTGAAGAATCTCGTTGGCCTTCCAGTATGGCCTGTATTTGCTCCAGACTTTTCCTTTTCGTTTCAACAATTGTAGTGCTGTATATCGCACCAAAAAACGCTGCCAATGAGTAAATAATAAAATTCGTATATAATCCGTAGTTGTTGGTAAGAGGCAGGAATATAACAATTACGACGCAGCCAACTGTCACCCCAATTGTCGAACAGAGGGCGTTAGCTTTAGCTTTCATGTTCATAGGAAACATTTCAGCCATTATCAATAGCGGTATGTAAAAATAGCCAGTTGAGTAGAATGCTGCTTGAGCTATGAGGAATATGATGACCAACCATTCTGTCCCTTCGACGTCCATATACATTTTGTCCCGTAAGAAGAACCAAATTGCACAACAGGTCAAAAAGAAACATGCCCCTGCCGTGGAAAAGAATAAGAGCATCTTTCTTCCCAAAGAATCGATGAAGAAGCCGGAAGAGGCGCACATGATGAGATAGGTGCAGTTCAGTACAATGGAGCCTTTGTTGCTAGACAAATACCAGGTATCCGGAAAGACGAAGCTACCATATGGGATCAGGCAAGAAACGCCGCAAAGGCGTTGCAGCAGCATCAATATCAAGACGCAAGTCAGTGCTTTTCGAATGGATTTGACCTTGAACAAATCGACGTATTTACTACTCCGTGCCAACTGGATCTTCATATTTTTCTCGATCAACCCCAATTCTTCTTGAATATCCTGCTCACCCCTTAGCCATTGAAGGCTCAACTTAGCTCCTTGCATATCTTCCTTCATTATTTGGAAATAGGGAGATTCCGGGATCATGAACATGAACAAGAATGAGAAAAAATCAAAGCCTGCAGAAGCGATGGCCAAATTGTCGTATGACAGAAAAGCACCGATGGCGCTCTCAATAACTGCCCCCAAAATGAACTGGACGCTGAGGAAGCTCTGAACTTGACCCCTGATCGACTTGTGAGTGGCCTCCCCGATGTAGATCGGAATGACGAAGATCGTCGCACCAGCATAGAGCCCAGTGGCGAGCCTTGCCAGGCACAAGGCCCAGAAGTTGTGGAAGCAATAGATGATCAACCAATGAGCGGTCTGCAGAACCCTTACTGCTATGAAACAACCCTTCCTACCTATGATGTCCATGGCGTAACTTATAGGTAAGGGAGATAGTATCCGTCCTGCGCATCCAAGGACTGCTATCATCGACATCTCGTAATGGTCCAACTTAAAGTCAACTTCTCCTTCTTTGATTTTGGAAAAAGCTGGAGAGGTCCAAGCGAAACCCATTCCTGCCGAGCAAAAACAGAACGATACTGAAACAAAAAGGCAATTCGTTTAACGACATATTTTATCTTAATATTAAAACGATTTATGGTAAAATACATGTAAACTCTGAATACAGACATCCCGAATAGATGGTAATATGTTTGAACAGGTAGATAAATTTAGGTATCTAGGGTCTAGGATAACTAGAAGAAACGAAATTGAAGAAGAGATTAAGGTTAGACTGAAGGCGGGAAATGCTTGTTATTTTTCTGTGACAAAACTACTCAGTTCGCGTCTCTTGTCCCGCAACTTAAAAATTAGAATCTATAAAACAATTACCTTGCTTACAGTTCTTTATGGATGCGAAACTTGGCCTCTTACATTAAGGGATGAGCAGCGTCTTAAGGTTTTTGAAAATAAAGTATTGCGTAGAATATTCGGACCGAAGAAAGATGAGTTAACCGGAGAGTTCAGACGGTTACATAACGCCGAATTGCGTGAACTGTATCCAGGTAATATAATTGAGGTAATTTCATCTCGACGAATCAAATGGGCTTGTAAAGTTGTTGGGCTTAGTAACGAGAGAATTCCTAAAAGGTTAATATTTGCTGTGCCGAATGGTAAGCGTCCGAGGGGTAGACCGAAGTGAAGGTGGGAAGATTGCATTAAAGCCGATCTGAAGGGACTACTGGGTTTGGACGGCGAACGGTGGAGGGAGGTGTGTAATAAGCGATTGGTGGTGTCGGCATCGAACCTTCGGGTTCGCTAAGCCTTTTATTATTATTGTTATTTAAATCTACTAATCAAGATCGGCATAGATCTGTTGAAAACTTTTCCTTAAACCGAAAAAAAATTGTTCACTTATCCATTTACATTGCTTTAGTTCATCAAAGAAATCGTACTTCTTTGATTTCTCTAATTGGTTATCAGGAAAATTAGTCTAATTCAATTGTGTTATTTTTAATGAACATATATGAAATTGAAAAAGATTTTTAAAAATCGGTAGGAAAGTCATGTGAATGGACAAACTGGATTTTGTATTTAAATAATTGGTGACGTATCGATTATATTTACTCTACAACTCCTCCATTCCATCTACGGTAGGGATCTATCGCTTTCTTTCTTGATAATGCCTTTAATGTATTGTGAAGTTAATTATTTTAACTTGGTAGGACTTTACTATGTTTTTGTCAACGGAGCAACTAAATGTACCTATTCTGTAACGTTTTTCTCAGATCTAAAGCAACATGTTTGATAAGAACCAATAAGCTCAGTGCCGGCCTTAGGGCGACGTAAACGGCAATCGCCCCTGAGCGTCGACATGGACGTTATAAGAACTTTGAGGGCGCCACTTGTTATAAATTAGATGAAAATACAAAACGTCTTATAACAGTTAATTTTAGCCTATCAATAAAGGAACAGTATTAGAGAAATATTGAATGAAAATTATTTATTTTTTAGGAGGAGGGGATAGATTGCCCAGGACACCGAATGTCTAAAGTCGGTACTGAATAAGCTAATAGGTAACTGAAAGACTTGCGAGACTCTTGGTCAAGACTTGGTCTTGCATTAGGGCAATACTACTTCTGAACAAGTATCACGAAAACAAGACAAGATATATGAAAAATAAACCTGCGTCGTATTAATGCTGAGAACAAGCAATTAATTTTTAATTCCAACAATTAATCTATTCATTCACACCAGATCCCGTTGTTTCCTTTCCGTGTTTTAGCTCAGAGCGAAGGGACATTTCCATTATTCTTAAGAACATTTTCATTCCAATAATTTATTCTGTGTTATAACTATTTTATATATCATATGTTTATAATTAACTAACATGTGATTTAAAAAACCCACATGATTTTACGACCATTCTCTAAATTGCTTTCTTTAATTGTTTGAATTAACCTTTTAATGAAATATTCATAAACTCAAACCTAAATCCGAGTAGGAACTAATAGTAAAATAAAGATAGGAAGCTGGGAATTCTATTCAGATTAATGTCGCTATTAAAAATAGTTACATCAGAAAAAATCAGTTTTTCTTAAAATTAAGAACTGCGTTTTCATTTTTATAAAATTACAAAAAATTAATGAAGTATTATTAATGATTTAAAGTGATGAATATACCTACGATTGAAGCCAGCCATTGGCCCGCTCCGTGCTTTGGTGGATTCGTTTTGATCCACAGATCTCTCATTATTTGATCATTTATGATTCTTCTTCCTTAAGCTTATATAGTTTTTCAAAAATAATCTAGTTCTTGTCTTCTATGTATCCCAGAGATAGCGCGCCACGCACAGATGATATCCCCTCAAAGATCATATTGAATACACACATATGATTCTTTGTTAGGAATATTGACAAACCGCACTCAGATGTTCTAATGTATATAGTTAATGATTGCAAAAGTTATTACTGAATAATAAATCTGTAAAAAGTTATACATAGTTATTTTTTGTTAAGACTTAAACTAGTAGAGGATATTAATTTATTTTCTCTCTTTTTTGTAATATTTGCTTCTAAAGGTAGCGAATATATATATTTTACCATTCTTTATTTATCTTGTATATATTTTGATAACTTTTTGATTTTTACTTATTGAATGTTGATAATAGGTCTTTTGGTCATAAATAGTCATTATTATTCTATTCAGAGTATATCTATGTTCTTCGATTTTTACATTTTATTTAACAGCTATTTCTTTTTTTTAATTGTGAATTGTATGGTTAACAAATTTTTAGACTCACAATTTTTTATTTGTTATTTTAATTTTATTTTATTAATTGAAAACATTTTTTAGAAAAATTGTTTAATTTCTAGTAATTTTGTAGGTATATAAAAACATATATAAATAAATAACGATAGTGATGCTTCTACATTCTTTGTCTTCCGTTACATCATACAAGGAGTTTTAGACTATTGTAGATTACATGAAATGGCACAAACCCCAACACTAAACGAATTAGAACCAAATCTTAAGAATTACTAACCATTTGCTTGCATTAGTAGTTGCAGTTGCCTGAAATAATCACTGCTTTAGTGAATTCGTTTTTCCGCTAATTTTTGTTACCACATTCACGCGAAATGTTGCAGGTTTAAAATTGTGGTATTTAGGTTTAATTATATTTATTTGAGAAATCTAAAAAGCTGTTAGGTGAAGAAATATATTTTTGTAGAACAGTGAAAAAACCAAATAGGAAAAAAATTTAAATTCAAGAAATCTTAAACTATACATGGAGATGAATGTTCTCACAGCTGTTGAAGAAAAAATATTATGTAGTTTTGTTCATGTTAAAAGAATATCTACAGAAATATTAACGATAAACAGAAAAGAGGAAGAAAAAAAGGATAAAATGAAGACTGAATATAAAATGAGGAGGAAACAAGGCTGGTTGGATATAGTCCCAGGGAAGAGCTTCGGATAAAAAAAAAAGTGGAAAATCATCTTGGTAATAATATTTGAGGTCATGAAAAATAATACAAACTGGTCTATTTCTCATATCATACATTGGTAAAGCACTAGTTGGAAGAACAGTAACTTTTCTTGGTGTTCACACAAATATAAACTTAGAACCCTGATGTCATTCAGAGATAAACTAAGCAGTTGGGGCACTGTGATAACCACACTGTTTTCTAAGAATATCTTCAGATTATAAAAAATTCCTGACACTTTAAGGACTATTATGGAAGTGTCAATTTATTTAATAAAGCAATTCATCTTCAACATCATAATCCACTCTTCTTCCTTCTCAGCCAATGAACAGTTTGAGGTTCCTTTTATAATGCTGCTTTCAGCTGGTTCTGTCCACTGTTATTACTTTCACATACCTCTATATGCAATATATATTTACTGAAATTATTGCGATGGTCAATATTTTTGAATCAACGGAAATGTATTGAAGTCTCCTGATTCCAAATACCCAAGTACCGAATATTTTTTGTATGTGTGTGTGTACTCACATACAAAAAGTATGGGTGTGAACAGTCTAACTCTATAACTCTATAAATAGTCGTACGAAAGTGATATTATGTATTTATATCACTTCCTATCCATCAAACTGCATATGTTAGTTTTGACTCTCTAATATCTAATTTCATTCATTTAACATCATCACACCATCTCAGCGTAAGCTCTTCTGTAATATTCTACATTGGCTTCACGTCCACTTTGTAAAAGTATAATCTTATTTGTAATTTACTGTGAAATTATAAATCAAGTGGAGTAAAGAGCGATTATTCTCTACACTGTCGAAACAATGAGGCTAAAGTGGTATGGGCATGTCATGAGGATGGAAGAGGAAGGATTGCTTAAACGATTTTTGTATTACAAACATGAAGAAATATGCTTTTTCTTCTTCTGAAATAATTTTTTTTTTCTTAGGGGATATTTGGTAAAGATATACGACTGTTGTAAAATTCCTTAAATCATTTTTTTATGGGAAAACTAAAAAAAAAATTTTTCTCTTCAATCATATATCCGCACCTGTCATGGTATTGACAATAAGCTGATGTGTTGTGATAAATAAGGATCGATATTATAGGCATGATGATCATTTAATCTAATGTTTTAAAAGGCCTTTAAGTAAAGAAATGAATAATGTAATTTAATGTAAGGGGAATAATAAAAACATCTTTTAATCTTCGTTATTACTTTTTTTTTTTGTTCTTATGGTTTATTTTATTTTTTATTTATTTTATTTTTACCGATTCCAAAAAAAGGAACCAGAAGAATCTTTTTCTATTTGCAATCGAATCAATTCGATGTGTTGGTTTCAATTAAAATTACTTAAAACATCTAAAGTTAACATAAAATGTGAGAGTGTCATTGATTGTTTTTTTTTTTAATGAAAAAGTGCGTATATACCGTCAATCTAATACCCTTCCTACCTTTAAATCAAGCCTGTTCAATCATTTCTTATCCATCCAGTAGCCATAAAATCGTAAATAGATACTACTGAAAATATGTACATAAGTTATTAGTTCGTTCTTCATTATTTGTTCCCCAATTTTTGTTTATCTATTTTTTTTTTCTGTTTTATTATCAACTGATCAAAATTGGAAAGTAACTTATATGTATATGTGTATATTTATATATATATATATATATATATATATATATATATATATATATATATATATATTATTTTTTTTAACCAAGACTGTTCAATTACTCTGTATTTTTATTTATATATCTCTGAAGCTCCTTAGCCCTCATTTCTGTCTTCCTGTATTATTCTAAAGGGACTCGTCCTAGAATAAATAAAGTATTATTATTATTATTATTATATATAAGTACATACTTTTTGTGTGCGTATAGATGTGAACAGTCTAACTATAATGAAAAGTCGTACGAAAGTGGTATTTAAGGTACATACATACATATATATGTATATGTTTTTATATTTTTATTTTTTATTTTTATACCACAATTATTCCTGAGATTTTATTTTATCTTAGTGTTTGCTTATTATTTTATGAATCACTGTAAATATTATTACATTTTGTATTAAATTATGTTTCTATTAGATAGCTATTATTTATAAATTGTGCAGTTATGTATATATAGATATGTAATTTCTTTTCTGTCTTTTTTTTTTCTTTTTTTTTTATCGTAATAATAAGTAAATTTGGAGAAGATTGTATGTTCATTTATGTATGTGTATGTGCGTGTGTTTATATATGTATATATATATTTTTTTTTTGTTTATTTCTTAGTGGTTACATACTACTTTTTAAATAATGTATATTACGTTAGAATTTTTTAAGTTAGTTTTTGGCCAGATTGGTATTTTATTTTGTATTAATTCATCTTTGTTATTCTAAGGGGACTTAGTCCCAGAATAAAGTTCTATTTTCTATTCTATTCTATTCTATATATATATATATATATATATATATATATATAGGCTGAGTTTTTACAGCAACTTTTTTTCGGAAAATTGGCTAACTGAAAGTGGCACTTGATACCATTGATTTTACAAATTTTTTTGATTCGCTGAAAAGCAATTATAACGATTTTGAATTAATTCGTTATACAAGTGTAAAGTTAAGCAGTTTTTAATATAATGTAGATTTTATTCTCACTGATGTTCTCTGACTGGGCTTGAATGCATAATTTGAAATAAATAACCATTTCACATTGTAATCTGCTATAAATAATGGTTATAAAATATAATATGGCTAAAATATAAAATATGAAAGAATTTGATAATTAAACAAAGTAGTAATGAGATATAGTAACGGAGAATAGTAATGACAGAGGAATAGAAGAAACCCGAGGTAAGTCTGGGCTTCCATACGTAACACGTGCTTAATTTAATATGGACTCCAATAATATTATATGCATACAGATGTGATGTTATCATAATTGCTAGCATATGGATTATTTAATATTTAATTCTATACATTACAATATTATAAATATTAAATTTTGTATAGATTCCAATGCTTAAACAAATACAAATAGCTACAACGGAATATAATTAAATATAGCGGTAAAAAATAAATATAGGAAAAAAATGGTTAGTGACAAAAAACATAAATATAAAACAGCAGACGGCTGTGAAAAACATATGTAATTAATTGTTTTAAACAATTCATACTCCTTATAATTTTTACTTTCGCTCCCCTTTGTCTAAAAATAATCATTTCTGCTTTAAAAAAGGTGGTAAGTGAAACTTGTTTGATGCACACGCCGCATCAGATATTTATTTGTCATTCTACTCTACCTATTACGCAATGTGATTAGAGTAGTGGGGTGTTACTCATCTCTGCGTATATACTCACTTCTTTACATTATCTTTAGTTATACATTATTACATCTGGTGCTTTGCACACATTCTCTGCGTTCTATCCTTGATTTTCACCGTCTTCCTTTTCTGTCCATCCTTTTTTAGATGGTCTACCGGGTGCTATGAGCTCCGTCCTTTCCAACGAAAAGTGGAAGGGGTATTAAATTTTTTTTCTTCTATATATAAAATCCTTGAAGTGTGAATTTTATGTTCTAATGAACTGTGGGAACTCGTTTCTAATTAAAATGTAGAGTGTAGCTTCTCTCATCATTTTGATCCTGAGCGTCTCATGGGCGGTGCATTTTGCCCATCGTTAACTCATTCCATTTATTCCAGTCGAGGAATCTGTCCTTCTAAGTGTTTATTGGTCTTCCTACCATCAACCTACATATGTTTTGGACTCTCTAATATCTAATAACATTCACTTAACATCGTCTCACCATCTCAGCTTAAGCTCTTCACTATGTAAAAGTATAATATAATGTGTAATTTACTGTAAAATAAATCAGTTTCCTTAATAAAAAAATATATATA